AAAAAAAAAAAAAAAAAAACTAAAAAAAAAGAGGAGAAAAATTTAGTGCAAAAAAAAACATAAGTGTATCTGCTCAAGCTAAGTTTATGAGGTTTTTAAATGCATTACTTTTTAATAAATTAGCCGACACTTTTTCTTTCTTTACCAAAAATCAAAGATGAATAACTGATTGAAGTTTAAGAACATTAAAACGATAGTGAAAGTTATCATCATCTAATTTTACTGCAGATGATGGTCGTACAAAATGTCCTGGATGTTCTGAAGCATTAGCTGAAGTTGAAGAAATTGATGACGACATTGAAGCTACAGGATATATTGAGGTCGGGAAATAGTTCACTCTTATTTTCTTTCTTCCTGTTTTTTTTTCTTTTTTTTTTTTTCCAAATTTGTCTTTTCTTCATTGTTTATGTTGAAATCTTTTTTCTTTTTGGCGATTAAGCATCATTATGATGTCTTATAGAGGCGAATGTTGAAATAAAGATGGGAAGCAAGTTAATTAATTGTTCAACTGATCCATTTTATCCTGCTATCCAATGTAAGAATTTGTATTTGAAAACATGACGTACTATTTAAGGTTTGCAGGACTATGATTATGGAATGATTTAGGATGACAGACTTTGTTCAGGTTTAGTTATTAGCTGTCTAAGATTCAATAAATTGCATCTTTTCTTTTCGCTAATTATTAAATAGTTGATAGAAATCTGGAAATTGTCCGTTTATAAATAGGCGATGTTTAATTGCTGACACTATGAAAAAAGAACATTTTGAAAAGTGAAGAATTTAAGAAAACACAAACACTGTTGTATATGAACAAGAAGTTCCAAATAATTTGCTTTTTAGAAATTTATTTTATAAGAAATGGGTTAAACTTGGTCAGTCTGTTTTTGTATCTGAAACTGCAGTAGGCTTTTTCCTAGGTTTTTAGAGATTTATATGACTGAAAAAAAAAAAAGCTTTGAAGAATGAAATTGTCTGAACACAGTGTTATCCGTTTTCTTTGGTATAGCAGCAGCATTTTAGAATTGTCAATCTGCAAGGACGATTCTTTGATCTGTGCATCTTTTGTAGCTGTTGCTATTTGTATGTTAGACTTGAAATCCAGTTTTAAATTTGTTTTTTTAATCCTTAACTTTGACGATTGAATACATTTTTGATAGTTCAGCTGCTGACAGTACTAGAGTGTAAACTTTTTTGGATATGGTTAGTGCATTTTTGATGCGTTCAAATTATGAGAATAATAAAACAAAATTTTTTAATTTTCAAGATTTACTATATTGTCTTCTTGGAAGCACTTCTTGTCTTTTAGAAGTATATTTCTTGAGCATAATCATTTTTACCTAATCTTTTTTAGTGTTATCAAAATTTATGAATTCTAAAATTGCTTTACTTTGATGATGAAGAGTTGAAAGATTGCAAAAAATAACCATGGAAAACTTTTGAATAAATGCTTGAAAAGCTATAACTTTAATTTATTGTAAATGTCGTAGCAGAATATGGCATTCAATCAAAAAACGTTCTTCATCTTTTTGTCTTTTTTAAGACCAACGACTGAGCACTGTGTGAAACAATGAAAATTTATGCAGACATCTGTAAAATTGTCTAGGCAAGAAAATTTTTTTGACCTCTCATCAGTACATCTATTTCAACGTAAAACATTTGTGCCATAACAGTATCATTTACGTCTAAAAGTCTGTTATCGTTAATCTCTTCATACAGATTTCATTACTTTTAGCCAACAATTAGTTATCTGTATTATAAGAGATATACAATTTGCCAATGTTCACTATAATGCGTCTGTTCTGCATTGAGTATAAAAACATCAGGAAATTTATAGTTTATTCAAGCCAGATCAACAAATGTCATTTTATCAACGTAAACTTATTCTTAGAATATTTCTTCAACTTTATTACCCAAAGAATTGAAACTATAATTATTCCTCTCAATAGTTGACTTTGTCTGTCTTTATACACCGTGTATTTTGTTTGTTAAATTGTAAAAACAGTACTGTTTTTACGACATCTTTTTACAAATGCCTTTTAATTGTAGTCGCAAGTTTTCAGCTAAGAATTTTGCTATCTTCTTTTCACTTCTTTTGTTCTTTTTTTTTTAACGCTTTTGCTTTCCTTTCAAATTTCGCATTAAATTGATGGAAAGCCTAAACATTATTTTCTTTTTTGTATCACAGTTTTGTTAATTAGTTTCAGCAACCAAAAAATCGCTTAAAATTTGTTCTTGAACAAAGATGAAAAGGAAATTTGAATGTGTTTCTAAAAAGTACTGAAAAGTTTTTTCTTTTTTTGGTAATTAAGATTGGGAGCAATGTTTTAACATAAAATTTGAACAGTACTTTCTACAAAAAAAAAAAAACAATCTTCTATTTTATACTATCAGCTTTCGTATCAGAGCACATACACTTTGTGAAACTGTATTTCCACTGATCACTTTGACGACGAATTATTGCTGCCGTCATTATTGATTTCTGTATATTTTAAAACAAATATTAATCATCTTTTTAATTTGTCTAAGAATATCTTAGATGATAACAGTGATTACTGGAATGATCGCTCTTTTATTGTTACAGTGATGATTTTTAGACTTAAACAGAATATTTAAATTGCTTTTTTTTTCTCATCGCTTTTTTTTTTTCCACTGACACTGAATTCAACAAGTTTATATTTATTTGTTTTATCGGATACGATATAGCCAAAAAAAAAGAGGAAAAAAAGTAATTTGTTTACTGATTATTTTGTAATATTTAGGTAGTTAAAACAGATGATAGGAGTGTAGCTCGAGAACTGGGTGTTACGACATTTCCGTCTTTAGTGTATTTCCGGCGAAAGAATCCAATCACTTATGACGGTAGGCATTACTGAATAATCAGTTTTTTTAGACAATGTCAATTTCAGCTAAAAACAAATGTGTTTGAGATGTGAGTTTG